GCTGCACTCTGACCTCCAACCTTAACTTCGTTCCATCCATGGCTATCAAGTGACTGACAATGAGCAAGACAAGAATCAAGAAAGGCACCATTAGTAGTTGAATTTATAATATTTGTCTCTGTTGTTTGAAATTCCTATAATAATGATAATAAACTATTGATTATTTTATTTATAATAGTACTTTAAAGAATCCCTGCAGTTTCTTCATCTCCTCTGGGCTGCAGTTTGGAGGAGTACAGTCAAGCTGAAGGTTATTCTGTACCTGCCACGTGTCATACTGAGAGTTGAATGTAAATATGGGAGTCTTTATGAAGGGATAAAGAAACTATCAGAGAAAGTAAAGAATGTCATTATTTATTTTTATTGAAATACTTGAGGTCTGATGCTTCATCTCCAGTGTACTTTTTACTGCACTCTTTATGCACGCTAATGGTCTGATTCTGGAACACAAATGCTGCAAATATTAATAAATTGAACTACACGTATTTAAATAAATGCTTACTGGTTTTTGCTCTTTCTTTTGCGATTGGCTCTCCATTGATGTTAAGCGAATTAATAAAGTACCTGTGCAATAAATTTAAGCTATAATTAAGTTAAAACTACATGGGCCTACCCAGCATCTGCAATTGCACGATATTTAATAGAGGAAGGAAGTACACTTTTCACATAATCAGCAAATATAAAGGTACCCAATCCACCAGCTATAGTCAATAGTTGAAATGAGAATATTACTTTTTGTGACTAAATATACCTGAGCATCCAGTTAGTATAACATCTGTTGCTTCTTTAAATTCCTTTTCAATCAAAGATTTAAATATTGCTTTAACTATCAAGTTTCCTTTGAAATATATCGGACTCCCGTAAACATGAAATGGCTTAGACCTATTGAAGTAGAAATACCTTATTTAGCTGATTTAATTGAAAAATAGCAGCATATATATAATTTCTGAGTTGAGTTATGATTTTTGGAAAAAAATTCTGAAGCCAACTTACAAGTATCCAGAATAACAGCTTCCATCGCAATATTTCACAAATACCAAGTTCCAATTGTAAAAGTATTTATTGGTCTGTTCAAGACCAGACAAGAACCCATCAAAGTCTGCAGTCTTTGCCCAGTAACTTGAAGAGCCCAACCTAGTCATGCTCCTCTGGTAGCACTCTTCTTTGCTCTCGCAGTCACCACCTCCTTCCAAATGCACAATAAATTTATTTGCACCACTGCCAGTACCTATACAGTGTATCATTAGTAGAGCTGATACTTTAGCTGCTGTTTTAGCTTTTACCTGGTCTGAAATAATACCCAGGTGGCGAGCCATCTAGACAAACAGCTTCTCCATGATTTTCTAGCAGCACTAAGCGAGCCTCTTTAGATGTAGCAAGAGCAAACAAGAGCGTCAATCCAAAGACAGGCAAAAGGTTAGCCATCACGAGCTTGGCTTGTAGTGTTGTTGTAGTACCATAATTTTATATAGTTCTAGTACTAGTTCTAGAACTAGAGTTTGATAAAATTTAGTTCTAGTTCTAGTTCCGGAACTAGAGTTTGATAAAGTTTAGTTCTAGTACTAGTTCTGGAACTAGAGTTTGATAAAGTTTAGTTCTAGTACTAGTTCTGGAACTAGAGTTTGATAAAGTTTAGTTCTAGTACTAGTTCTAGAACTATAGTTTGATAAAGTTAGTTCTAGTACTAGTTCTAGAACTAGATTTCAATAAATTTTAGCTATTGTTCTGGTTCTAGAGCTAAGTTATAGTTCTTGTACTTGTTCTGGCAATGGAGTTTAAGAAGCTTAGTTCTAATTGGAAATAATTTCTAAATACTGCTTCTTTTTGCTTCTGCTGTCATGCTTTAACTGCTTAGCTTTGAACTGAACAAGTATTCAAAGTCTATTGATGTACTTATGCATTATAATCTATGTCTAAGTAACAAATTCATACATTATTTGTTACTCAGTCTTTGTTATGTACTAAAATATTTCACTGACAAATTAGTACCTTCTTTGTCAAGTTATATTGTTCTACAATTCTAGTTCCAAACTAGTTCTAGTATCACAAGAGAATGTACTTTTAGTTCCAATTTAGTTCTAGTACTGAGACTCTGGTAAAGTTTAGTTCCAGTTTAGTTCTAGTACTACAAGTCTCGTATAAGCTAGTTCTAGTTTAGTTCTGGTTCTTACATTGGTTGTAAAAATAGTACTAGTTCTAGTTCTTGGAACTAGAACTATGAAAAAAAGGCAGTACTAGAATTGATTTAGTTCTAGTACCAAGGAACTACAACAACACTATTGGCTTGCAATAATTAATTAAACCACACCTAAAAATGCAAACACGTGGGCGTTAGCTCAAGGTGCTAATTTGCATTCATGGAAAAGCAATACTTTTATAGTAAGCACAAAAGAGTTACAGCAATCAACAAGATTTATTGCATGGATAAGGACAGTCAATTTCTTTGACACTTCCTCCAGATTTCCCAAAGTACTAGTTAGCAAATGTCTCTGCTGCACTCTGCCCTCCAACCTTAACTTCGTTCCATCCACGGCTACTAAGCGATTGGCAATGAGCAAAACAAGAATCAAGAAAGGCACCATTAGTAGTTGAATTTATAATATTAGTCTCTGTGGCTTGAAACTCCTATTTTACATATATACATTGATGACATTAAGAGTACTGTAAAATACTTTGAAAAACTCTTGCAGTTTCTCCATCTGTTCTGGAGTGCAGTGTGGTGGGTTACAGTCTAACTGGAGATTATTCTTTAGCTGCCATGTATCATATTGTGAATTAAATGAGAAGATAGGAGTTTTTATAAAAGGGTAAAGATACTGACGGAGAAAAAAATTTATATCAATAGCTTCAATAATAATATTGACATACTTCTGGTCCCAAACATTTATAAGTATCATTTCCAGTATAAACTTTAGCACAAGAACCAGTCAAACCAATCGACATATTCTGCATTTTATATACTGCAAGGAACAAGAATGTGACAGTTATGATTACACCATCCAAGCATTCATTTTTAAACAATGCAGTTATTTAAGCTTACATTTCTGCCCTCTCTCTTTTGCGACAGGCTCCCCATTTACATTAGGTACCTCAATAAAGTACCTAGATTTAGCATTAAAGAGGTCATTAATTGATATCATAGGGCTTACCCAGCATCTGAAATTGCACGATATTTAGCAGAATGGGCAAAACACTTCCAACACGAGACACCTACGGTGCTTGGACTCGCCACAGTTGCTTTTGAATTTATGCACTATAAAAACAATGAATCATGGGTTTCATTTCTATTATGCAGCATGATAGAGATAATGACCATAATTCCGCATTGCTTTCGATTAATATATAGTGTATGTTTTGCACTGACTCAAGTCAAAAGAGCTTTAAAAACTAAAACCTACATATATACTGTGATGGCACAGATATTTTTGTCTTGATAGATTTTATTTGCCTAAGAGATCATGCATAAGACAGCAAACAAAAAATTATGCATTAAGAAATCCAAGCAGCAATGCAAGCATTTAAAATTGCCAATTATTAATAGAGGCGTGGTTTCTGTGCCAATAAATTATAGATAATAGAGTACAGGTTTTTAATATTTTCATACAGTTTTATGTAATAGTGCCACAGTAGCAGCAACTAGATCTACATGTATACATGTGCATGCAACTTACTATCATCATCATCATCATTAATCTCTTCCAAAGGTAAAATGAATTATAGAGGTAAAATAATGTTGTTAAATATATTTTATATACCTCTTGGAGACATTCAATCTGTTTATCTTTTGACAAATCTTCTCTTTTTTTGTTGAACCACAGTGACTCATTATTAGTTAGTGATCGAGGAATTCTTTCCATTTTGCAGTAAACAGGATCAGAGTTTGTCTGCTTCTTAGCATCAATGTCTTGAATGTAATGAACGTCACTGGAAAGACTGCATTGACACACGTATTGTAAACTTCTTGATGATCGATCCACATGATGACCATGGTAAAGAATGAGAGTGTCTTCTACCTTTTGGCAACATTCGTCCAATAACTTCAATAATTGCTGACAAACTGTTTTGAAAGGAACAGGATGACTAATCTCAGGGACATATCTCAATACATCAGCTTGAATAGCATCATTAATATCAGTGAGAAACAAATCATCAGAAGGATGGCCATAAGAAAAGCAGACACGATTACGATAGATACGTTTTATCTCAACTTTAGAGCGTAACTTCATGGCAATAGTTAATCGATCAAAGAAACCAACAGTAGGTGCTGCATAAACATTATCGAAATTGAGCTTAACATTCGGATTTGCAGCAACAGTGGTTGCTAAATGAGTGAAGAAGCCAGGAGGTACATACCCAGTGGAGAATGTAATGTGTACAGGTGAGGCTCTTAGCTTATAACCAGGTCGTGCTTCATTAGGATCACCTGTGTATCCTGGTAGTACTGCTGGAAGAAAATATTGCTTGAATCTGCTATCATCATAAAGCTCAGTTTGAACCTGAGCTGCAAGACGAAAATGAACTAAAAGTTCAATTATTTCTTCTGGATCAATACCACTTGACTGCCATACTTCTTGATAAAGTGGTTGAATAAGAATACCATTATTTCGTAACAAATACCATCTATTTGTTCCACTCCATTCTTTTTCTAGTGGAAACACCTTCCCAATGGCATCAACAAACCATTTTGGACTGAGAATGACTTTTTTATTCAAACCTTCTATTTGAGGATAGTAAAGCACAGCTCCCAGCTCATGGTAGAATTTCAATACTTCAGGAACATCACCTGCTGGTATATGGCATGCCACTCCAATGGCAATGGCATCAGATACACTAATGACATTCTGCTTTAGCTCTTGAAGAACTTTGCGAAAGATAACCCAATTGACAGGGGTTTTGACAGCCAATTTATTGATAAAACTATCAATTGCTCCATGTAAATCCGTAATGCTTGGATCTTCTTTGACTCCTTTGCCCGAGGTTGTATTATCAATGATTAGAACATCTTTGATCAGATCTGAGAACTCTTTCTCCTCATACAGAGACTGGATCTGCTTCTTTACTTCTTTCTTCCTTTTTCTCCTCAGCTTGTCACCACGAGTGCCAATACAGTAGAGACTAGGAGAAGTATCATCTTTGTTGTGCTTTATGAGGTGACTGTGTATTGTAGACATCCATTTGGCCATTAGATCACTCGTGCTTTCATTCACTACCTCACCAAACAGCACTCTACCATCAGGAGTATTCTGACGTGACTGCCATCTTTCCATGAAATCCTTTGAAGCATCAAACAGGAGAAGAAACATTGTACGAGGAGTGAGGAAGGCTAAGAGAATCTCAAGGAACACTGGCTGACCACCACAATCCCATATATGAAGAAATGGCTAGTCATTACATGTATGTTATAACAAATGCTATCAAAGTAATTGACTTACTTGAACAAGTGATTCTGTTGTCCAATAAGTAACATGAACTCTTTCAAGTATTGATTGGATATGACTCTCTAAATTCAAATCAGAAGCTATGAAACCAGTAGAAACTAATCCATTCGATTCATCATGAGAATATTTTGCACTCAATACTGAAGTATGGTGTGAGGATGATCTAAAATGAAAGGATTCAAACAAACGAGCAATTTCTTCAAGTTCATCTTCTTCTGTGGCTTCTCTCCATTTGTTTCCTCTCCTTGTTTGCCACTTGTGTCCAAATGGTCGTACGGAGGATACATCAGATACAATGGTGCTTGTAGTATGAGGATTGAAAGGTTTTTCCATTAATGAACGCTTGAGAGACGTCTTGCCAGTACCAGCTGATCCCAGTAACATAAGACGAGCATACGCTACATCAGCACTTCCTTGTTCTTTGAGAGCTCTCTCATAGGCACCTATTGATACATGTACAATGCATAAGATATATCATAGATTATGGATAATTTTGGCAGTTTACTTACTTAAATCCTATAAAATAGTGCAGAAAATATTTCTTAAAATCTAATTTTACATCTCATGACTTACTGGCTATTATAACCACAACATTTGGACAGAAAATAAAATTACTCATTCATATGTGATGTGACCTACTGTCTGAAAAATTGTGAATAACACAGTTTAGTAAAGTATCACAATGGTACCATAGAAGAACTAAATAAAATTACACATTCACATGTGACGTGACTCACTTCCTGAAAAATTGTGAATAACACAGTTTAGTAAAGTATCACAATGGTATCATAGAAGAAAAGGATAAAATTACACATTCACATGTGACGTGACTTACTTCCTGAAATATTGTGAATAACACAGTTTAGTAAAGTATCACAATGGTATCATAGAAGAAAAGAATAAAATTACACATTCACATGTGATGTGACTTACAATCTTAAAGATTGTGAATAACACAGTTTAGTAAAGTATCACAATGGTATCATAGAAGAAAAGAATAAAATTACACATTCACATGTGACGTGACTTACTACCTAAAAGATTGTAAATAACACAGTTTAGTAAAGTATCACAATGGTATCATAGAAGAAAGGAAAAGAAGTACACAATCACATTATGTGACATGACTTACATTCATTGTCT